CGCAGCGGATCTCAGCGCCACCCGGGGCAAACGGCCGCCCCGGCCTGCGCCCCCCCCGAGCCGAGCAGGAATCCCTCCTGGACACAGCGTACCTGGATAGAGCCGTTGTGGGCAATGATCTGGTTCTTCATCTCCTCACTCCACAGGCCCCTCTCTGTGAGGTCTTTCAGCAAGTGCGGGTTCACCACCTGCGAGGGGCAAAGGCCAAAGGCGGCGGGCGCCGCGTGTTGTGCCAAGCCACCCGCCCTGCCCCCCGGCGCAGGCACACCTTCCCAGGGGAGGCAAATCCACCCAGTGCGCGCGAAACGGCTAAACACGACCTCGTACAGCCCTGACAAACCCTCACTCCTCCGCCAGCCCCGAGGTGCGCAGGCAGAAGGTTCCAACAGCAGGGTAACAAACACGAGGTGCTGCAGGCTGACACCAGGCTGGGGCCACGCTAGTGGGACAGTAACGTCAGGGGACGTCACCAATGAGAAAGGGGAGCGTGTGGCACTCCCCTGCGTGAGGAACGCCAAGAGATGCGAAAGGGAGAGACCTTGGTGGAGCAGGGCCGCCGACCCCCACCTGAGTTACCAAGTAAGGGGGTAAACAATCACCAAGGCTGGGGTCAGAAGGGGAAAGAACACGACAGGCTGTGGACTGGGGAAGCAAAACCAGCCCAGTCCTGCTTGCTGGGCCTGGGGGTGCCTGCCCAGCAGCCCCGCACCCCACCTACACAGCGGAGCAGGCCAGCAAACCTGTTGCTCTGACCTCACCACGCGGGTCTGACTTGACCCTGCAGCGAGGAGGAAGCGGAGAGCTTTCCCTGACACCCATGAGGGGCCACCTCGGAGGGGACGGGCAGACCAGCCCTCCCCAGCCGCCAGGTGTCGGTCTCGCAGAGGTCTTCGCCCACTCCAGCCTCCAGAGCTCCCGTCGTTTCACACCCTTCCCTAACCGACAGGCCCCTCCGCACCTGCCAAGCTCTCACACGCCCTCTTCAGCGCTTCACACGCAGCCCTCTCCTCAGGACCGGGCACAGCAGCACCGGGGTCTCGGTTACTCTTCCCACAGCACGCGTGCCCCTTCAATAATTTCACTAATCACCACCCATTTCGCAGTTAGTCCTGCGGGCCATCCTGAGGCCTCATAAAGGGTGGGGTTTTCCCCAGGCAAAAGCAGCGCTTCTTGACAATTTTGCCTATTCCACGACGACTGCTGTGGAATACGCGAGGCTGCACTACCACGGCCCAGGGTACCGGCTGGATGTTCTCCCGACTGAACAGCTGCCGAGCGCGTGGCCTCCGCCTCGTCTGTCTTCGCAGCGAAAGTCATCAAAGACAGGGAAACAGAGGAGCTCCTTCCCACAGCTGCCTCGCTCACCTGGAACTCTCCTGAGAGGACTCTGCGCGTGTAGATGTTGCTGGTGTAGGGCTCAATGGATTCGTTGTTGCCCAAGATCTGAGCAGTCGAAGCAGTTGGCATGGGAGAGAGGAGAAGGCTGTTTCTGACGCCGTATCTAGTGACAACAGGCGAGAGTTAGAAAGCTGCAACCAAGCGAGACGAGACAGAAGAGACCCGAGAACAGCCCAGTTTGCCCAGCAGTCTGCAAAGAGCTGAGGGCCAGTGTAAGGAACCCTCAGCTCACACGCCCAGAAGTCTCACCTTCTCAGGGTAACCTGCAAACCCTCAGACTGCCTGCAGTAAAGAAAGGGAAGTTCCACTAAACTTGGAACGTGGGTCAGCATGGAAGCATAACTGAAGTATTTTCGTCTTCAATCAGAAGCTTTCCCAAATTATTTAGTCATGAGAAAGTGCGTAGGAAAAACAAATATCTGTCAGGGACTCCCCAGCACAACCACAACGAGCAGCCCGTGAGGAGCCCGAGACCCCTCCATACACGAGACAGCAGAGACACACACTAAATTTAAACATTAAACCCACACAAGCTGAACAAACTCAGTACAGGTGCTTCACGCTCCCACGATTCCTGTCTCCAGGACACTCAAGGCTCAGCTGCTCCTCCCTGCCTGCGGGGAAAGAGCTCCAAGCCCGGCTGACTCCCTCTCACTCCTCACCACGTTTGCTTAACGGGAACACGAACCATCCCGCTGGTGCCTCCAGGACGACACGGGAGCTCAGCTAAACCCGCCCCGGGGTGGGCTCTCTGGCTGGTAAGAGCCAACAGAAGGAAGCCACCCACAAACCAGTTCTGGAGACAGACCTGCTGGGGCGGGGGGAACACATAGGGCCCGTTTCCCCTTGCGCCCTGTCCTTTGTTTGTGGTCAGTCGGGGCGCGCCGAAGGCGCCTGACCTCCAGGACAGACTGGGCACGGCTACTCACGCAGCAATCTTCTCCTTTAAAGCCTTCCAGTCCCACAGATCAGACGGGGTGACGTTCCACATGTCATACTGCAGGATCTGAAGGACAGGGGTGTAGGTTCAGATTAGACAGGGCGCTCCTTTCGCGCTGTTTCACACACCACATTGTAAACCGACCCGTGAATTACTCCTGTGACCTTCTCTTTACCATTCAGCCTCAGCAAAGCTCCTGCCTCATAATCTTACAAACACCCCGCCTTCTAACGGGCTACAGGGGACAGCCAGCACAGGCTGGGGCTTTTCTTTTGCCGCTCCCTGCGCCTCCGTTTAACTCGCGCGTTCCTCGCTGCGCTCAAGCAGCCAAGCGGAGGAGGAAAACTCGAGCACCGTCGGTGCTGTCGCAGCGTCACCAGCCCGAGGCGTTTCAGCCACACACCTCCAGCCACGCCACCCGCTTCCCGTCCCATCGGCCCTGCCACGGGCAGCTGCCGGCACTGACCCCTTTGCTGACGGGAGAGCCCGCGTAGGTTTCGTAGGGGCCCTGCTCCCTGGCCAGCTCGCAGCTGGCTTCCAGAGCGCCGTAATAGATGGTCTCAAAGATCTGCTGGTTCAGGCGCTGGGCCTCGGGGCTCTCGAAGGGGCACCTCATCAGGATGAAGGCGTCTGCCAGGCCCTGCACGCCGATGCCAATGGGACGGTGGCGCCTGTTGGAGCGCTCGGCCTGCAAGCAAAGGGAGTAACGGCCTGCGGCGGAACTACGCGGAACCATGGAATAAATAAGGCTGGAAAGGACCGCCGAGAGGAATTTTCATCCGTGCCATGGCCTTAACTCTTACAGGCCACCCCTTCTCCTGCGACGACCCACCTTCCTGTCCTGCCCAGCTCCCCACTGTTTGGTGGGCCCAGATTACGCTCGTTGGGAGCGACCCCTGATGTCAACTGCTCAACCTGACACACAGAGCGAGCCGTGGGTTAGACACGAACACTAAGCACTTTCTGAAAAAAAATACCAGGCCCACGAAGACATTTAAACTCATGCATTCAAATCATGTAAGCTAGAAAAAGCTGATCCTCATCAGGTGTGGCTTCGCACTTTGGGTATTTGCTTATTTCCTCCTCCACCACCCAGCTCCACTGCTGGCTCCTCTACGTCCGTGGCAAGGCAGCAAACGCTGCTCCCATTCCTCCTCAACAATCACCAACCCCCTCCCCCTTTCCTTCCAGACAGCAGTCTACGTGCCCTCCCCAGAACACACAAAACCAACACGACCGAGTTACACCTTCTCGGGATCTTTCCAGGATCCTTCCCTCCGCTCCACTGTCCGCTCCTTTCCCAGTGCTGTTCTGGGCCTTGCGGGACACACACAAAGACTCCCACTGCAGAATCACCTCAGGAAGAGGCTTTTCCTACAACTGCTTCACGGAGGCACCGTTCTGGGTTGGAGCTTACATGAGCCACGAAGGACGGGTCACAGTTGCCAACAGGCAGGTAACGGAACTCCCAACTATTTGCCAAAACCCCTCGCCCACCCCTTCCGCCCCAGGCTGAACTGGGGTGGCTGCAGAGCAGCAGGCCCCCCGTCACCAGCCCCTCGGCACGCCCTCAGCCCCGTGCCAGCGCAGCACGGCGCTCACCTCTGGCACGGGGTAGTAGTTGATGTCAATGATTTTGTTCAGGTTTCGCACGATAACTTTGGTGACTTCAGCCAGCTTCTTGAAGTCATACGTGTGCTCTGAAGTGACGTACATGTTCAGGGCGATGGAGGCCAAATTACACACTGCAACCTGCGGAGAGAACACGGTGAGAACAGGCACAGCAGCCAGCACCCCCCTGCAAAAACCCCACAGTCTCAGTTCCACGGCACGATCTCTATCCAAACTATATGGAAACAAAGCACCACGCGGCCTACAAGGCTGGAGAAACGCACTCCTCTCTCTCTCAAGAGTTGTAAAAAGGGTAATAATAATTCAAAAAAGGTTTAGTAGAAATCAGGATCACCATGAAGATTCAGCCTGGGCAATCCTATTGCCTGCAAGCCACCCTCACGTAAGCTAAGCTTAACCATTTCTCGTGTTACCAGAGCCAGCCGCTGATCTCAATGAGATCCAGACGATATTGGGGCATTTTCCTGGTCATTTTTCAACACCAGCGTTAGTTCCAGCCCCAGGAGAACTGGAAGGCGGCAGCTAAGACTTCCTGCGCAGCACAGGCAGGCGAGATGGCTCCCCACCTCTCCGGGGCTGCCCAGGACTTTGGGAACCTGCCAGAGTGCCAGCTGAAGAACAACTGGCGGCTCAGGCGGTAGCACCCGTCCGTTACAACAGCCTCAAGAGCTTCGCCGCAGCAGGACCGCTCCGCGCTGACCAGCACGGCCGCACTTCCACGTCCTTCCTTCGCCTTTGTCAGCAACGCGTGGCCCGAATGTCACACGCCCGCAGAGCGCCAGGGTGAGGGCAGCACACGGGGAACTCGGGGGGAATTGCTACTGAAATGTAAGCCTGGGGTAAGAGAGGTGTGGCTTTGCTAAACCACTAGCCAGGGAGACGCTTCCATCAGCCACCAGCAAGCCCGAGAGCTCACGTCTCCCTCAAGCTTTCAGCGGTTCGCTTTGACGGGCACCTTGTTTGACACCAGATCCCCCACGGGAGGTGGAAGGGAGGGGAAACCTGCACACAGGGTCAGCGCAAGAGCCGTAAGGACTCGAGTCACAACACCCCCAGAGCTCCCCGAGCTGCCTGTTCCCCAGCCAACAGCCAGACACACCGCAGAAAGCTGCAACAGGAGCGGCCACAGCTTTCCCAAACGCCCCAAGCCCCTGCTCCCCGCCTACCTCATCCTTGCTGGTATACTCCACGATTTCTGTGCACAGGTTGCTGCACTTGATGGTCCCCAAGTTCTGCTGGTTGCTCTTGCGGTTGCAGGAGTCCTTGTACAGCATGTAGGGCGTGCCGGTCTCCGTCTGAGACTCGATGATGGCGTACCAGAGCTGCTGGGCCTTCACCACCCTGCGGACGCGGCCTTGCTTCTCGTAGCTGCAACAGGGCACACCTTGCTCAGCGATTCCCAGCCTCTCCAAAACCAGCAACGGCAGGTTCCCCGGCGGGCAGGACCCCACTCCTGCACTAGCCAGGAGAGTCTTTAACAGCAGGGTACCAAGACCTTGTTTAAAGGAAATCGAAACCTTCCACCACAAGGTCTACACAACTGGTTCAAAACAAAGCCACCTGCTTTAAGCAGGGATCACTTCAGCACTTCCCTCCACCAAGCTAAGACCATCATTCACACCCAATTCTGCCTAGAGCAGCTCTGAAGCACCCAGGAAGCCGACAATCCCCACCTTTGTCCTTTTACCAGTCTGATAATGGAACTCACCGGCCGCTTACGAGCCACCACCACAAGCCCGCGCTTTGGCTCCCCGACACCACACCACCAGGGCAGTTCCCTGCCTGGATGACCACTACTTAAAAGCGTATTCACTTCTCCTACCTCTCATATAGCTTCTCAAATTCCTCTCCCCACACCTCATCCAGGCCAGGACACTCGTTTGGACACATCAGGGACCAGTCCTGTAAGAAGGAAAAACATCCAGAGAAAACCTTCGGGCACCCTGCCCAGTAAAGGCGTTTGCCCCCGTCGGCAGATCCTGCTGTGAACAGGGACACGCAAACTGCGCTTCCCGCCTGAAAGGCCAGGAGCCAACTCTGCCAGCGGGCCCGGGGGAGGCGTTTATCAGAGTTATTTAAAAAGTAATCATAAGGATATGTATGACCAAACCGCACTTCCAGTCCTGAGACGACTGGTTCTCAAGCCACAACCCAGTTAAAGCAAACACAGTCGTACGAAGATCAATTTCCTGAGAAGATTTTGATGCTTTAAGGAAACCCCAGAGTGAAAATTTAGGGTAAAGGTTTAACTACAGAAGTCACGGGCTGCAAGAATAAGCACTGAGGCCAAGTATCCTGCTGGAGTTCTCCAACGCCATTCTCCCCCAGCCCAGCCCTCAAACAAGGTGCAGCAGCTCTTTTGGGAGGGTCCTTTGCTGCCGGGAAGGCAGCTCTGCAGCCCTTTGCAACCTCCACCCAGGGCTGGTCGCCTGCTTCTCCTTAACCAGACCCTTTCTGCACCGACCGAGCTTCTCACCTGGTTGGTTTCAACCCGCTTCATGAAGAGATCGGGAATCCAGAGGGCAAAGAAGAGGTCTCTGGCTCGCTGCTCTTCTTTCCCAGTGTTCTTCTTTAAGTCAAGAAACTCAAAGATGTCCAAATGCCACGGCTCCAGGTAGATGGCAAAAGCCCCGGGTCTCTGACACATAAAACACAGCCACGATCAGAACAAACTGCCCTTGAAAAGAAAACCTCCTGCACTGCCCCCGAGTGCAGGCAACACCCTGAACTAGCTGGAGCTTGGGTTTACAGCCTCGTTAGGGCCATTTCAATACTCATTTTGTGTGACTGTCACTCTCACTTGCCACGCTACTAGTTCCAGCTTCTCAATAAAAATTATTTAGTACCAAAAATAGATCTCCTCTGCGTAAAGAGGAGCTTGACAGATCTTGGATTTACTTCTTGCCAATGTCACGCCTCCATTGACCCCTGGACTCTGCAGAGACAAAGGATCAAGAAGCTTTCTACAGTCTTACACTTCGCTACAGGGCATTCAAGGAGGGCCTTGTCACCAGCGCCAGAGCCCGCTCCGGCACCGCCTCAGGCAGCAGACCTACACCGACAGATGCACCGGCAGGTTAAGGCGCACCGTGAAAGCGGAACACCAGCATATCAACAACAAGGGGGGAAAAGCCCTACTTGAGTTCGGTGTCATCCACCTCATCAGCTCACTGCTGCTGCTCTCACAGGCATGCAACCCCTCCCTCTGACCCGAGGTCCCCTTCGCGACCCAAACCGAACGGAAAGCCAGTACCTTGTTTCCACCCTGGTCCACGTAACGGGCAGTGTTGTTGTAGACCCTCAGCATCGGAACGAGCCCGTTGGAATTTCCATTTGTCTGCAGAGGCACAGGGAAACCATCAGCAGAGAAAAGCTACTGCCTGAGAGATGGGCCTACACCTTCTGTACGTCATCCAGCCACCTGCAAGACCCTTACGCTGAAAGCCGGGAACTGACCACCCCAACCGGGCACTTGGTGGTCCCTTCCCCTCTCCTTTGTTGTTGAAAGGGACAAAAACGTGTGGGGCAGCTCCGGGTCGCAGAGCTAACAGAACGTGCCTCCCAACTGCCTTCCCCTGCGTTAGCCGTGTGAAGGCCAGCAGAGGTTACCTCCACCCAACACACGTCCAGACGGCCGCGAGCAGCTCGACGTGCAAAGAGCCACGCACTGGCCGCGGAGCACGCTCCCAGGCTGCCAACACCCCAGCAAGCCGGAACCGTCTGATCCAACAGCGGAGTAAGAACCTCTCTCGGGAAGGACTTCTCAGCCAAAACACCAGGGAAAGCCAACCTTTTTGCCTTAGGGCACACCGAGAAGGGAAGCACTACCGAGCTGGACGAACTGCTGTGCTGAACTGACTCGGTAGATGTGGGAAACACAGATGTCTCCCCAAACCAGGAGGTTAACCTCTGCCGGGAACACCGCCCGCACGCTCACCCCCGCAATATAGCTGCCCGTGGCTCGGATGCAGCTCACAGCAAGGCCGATCCCACCAGCAGACTTGGAGATGAGCGCACACTGCTTGAGAGTGTCATAGATCCCCTCGATGCTGTCATCCTTCATGCACAGCAGGAAGCAGCTAACGAAAACACAGAGTTTCAGCACACAGAGATTAAAACAAACAAACAAACAAAAAAAGCCAAGAAGCATTTCACCGGGCCTGCAGAGAGACAAGGGTAAACACTGAATCTCTAACGTGCCACACAAAGCAAGTGAGCGAGGCAAACCCACAGGGTGCCAAGTGGAATATAGGAGAGTTTCAGAAAACATCACGAGCAATAGCTGCGTTACTGGTACCTGGGTGTCCTGGTCTGGCTGGGACAGAATCCCAGCCCAGCCAGGCTCAAGCCAGCCAGGGCAGCTGGCCTGAGCTAGCCACAGGTCTAGTCCACACCCTAATGTCACGGTCATTCTAAAGGGGGAAGGGTTGCTGAGGAGAGGGGGCTCCTGCCGGGGTTCCCCCTGCTCCTCCTCCGGCCTCTCCCGAGGACTGCTCTCCGGCAGATGGTGACAGCAGCGTATTCATCTGGTATTGGGGGAGTTTCATTAGATCTGCTTCGCTTCTACCCACGGCTCCTCTCTGCTTTTACCCTCTCAGGCTGGTGAGCAGTCATCGGGTGACAGAGTGACCGCTACAGCTTAGCCCTGGTACGGGCTGAACGTCGGCACCGTGTGATCAAAGCGAAGATTATTAAAACCATATCAGTTACACTCGCTACTTTAGCACGTTTTAGAAACAATTACCAGGATCCATTCTGCAATCTACAGAAGACCACACACAGAAGTAACTTGTATTTAAAAAGAGAGCCATGTAAACGTTCCCATCAGCTTCAGAAACCTGCGTATTGCTCCCCACGGACTACACCAGGTATCAGGTTAAACTTGACAGCAGCTTCTCAAAACTCCACAGAACAGCCATGGAAACACAGCTCACGTTTTCAGAAGTTGTGAAAGCGTTCCATTTGAACAGACCCGACCTCCAAAACTTTCTCTCGGCCCAGTTATGCACTAAGCCAACTCGAAAGCCAAAGGTACCTGGAAAGCTGAGGCCGGTTGGTGCCTGCGTTGAACAGCGTGGGGGAGGCGTGGGTAAACCACCTTTCAGACAGGAGGTTGTAAGTCTCAATCGCAGCATCAATGTCATTTTTGTGGATCCCCACCGACACCCTCATCAACATGTGTTGAGGACGCTCAGCAACTACGCACAGAAAGCACAGGAGACAAGGAAGAAGGTCAGCGTGACAGTTGCTGTCACACACGACGGAGGCGGAGGCCACAGCAGGGAGCGACAGCCAACGTGCAGCCAGCCACCTGAGAGCCTCGGTTTGCAGAGAACCGCAGAGTAATTCCGGTGGGGAGGAGCTCAGGAGGTGTCCAGCCCAATCTCCTGCTCAAAGAGCTGGCTAAGAGAATGAGACCCGTTTGCTCAGGGCTTGATCCAGTCAGGTTCTGAGGAACTCAAGGACGGAGACCGCATGAGCCCTCTCCACAGCCTGCTCCAACGCTTGACCGTTCTCCCGGGGGAAAAAATAAACCACCTGCATTAACAGTTAAAATCCAGTCAAACCTCCAGCCCAGCATCCCACTGCTCTCCAGGCTGGTTATATTACAGTGTCAACCTCTCACTCTCCTGGTGCCCTGGGATCCTCACGCCAAGGGCCTGCAGTACCTGGCACTGACGGCACAGTAGCGCTTTCAGCTTGGATTTGCTAAAAGGCGCTTTGCATTACGGAATGAGTTACCAGCTGGACGGGAATGACTTCACCTGGTAGACCCGAGGTGACAGGCAGCTTTCACAGCACTAGGGTCCTTAAATCGGACCGGGGCAGCCCAGCTCACACCGCCCGGGTTTGGAACGCCCAAGGAACCCGCCACAGCGCTGCTCTGTGACGATCGGCCGCTCCTCGTGCAAGGGCCGCTGCCACCAACAAACGTTGCACCCTCAGCCTGAGAAAAGCAGCGGCCCGTGCCCAGAGAACACCTACGACACCCGTCCTGCTGTTTGACACCAGCACACGGGGCTTTCCCTGGAATGCTTTACGGAAAGCTATGAGGAAGCCTATGTTCCTCCTCAACCCCTGCTCTGAGCCACGGTCCTGACTTTAAAATAACACTTTAAGTCGATACAGGCAGTTCTTACCTTTGGAGTTGATTTTCAGCAGGTAGGAGCGTTCTAGAGTCTTTAAAAAGAGAGAATGCATTTTAGTAGACATGTGGATTGCAGCTTTAAAAAAAAAACCAACCCTATGAACTCCAAACTCCAGCTCCTTCATTCTCCCTATCCCAGGCTTCCACAGAAGCACCAGCCCTGCACTCCACTCCTCCTGTCAGTGGCACAGGACACCATCACCAACGACTAAAACAAACCCCAGAAGGTTCCAACACTGAGGACTCTCCGGATGGGAGCGGCACGTGCGGCCACGAGGTTCAACGTGCCCCTCAGCCCACCGTGAGTTCAGGCCAGAAGTGCCCGTTCTCCACAACCCCACCCCCCCGTAAAGAGCTGTCAGTTACACTGTTAGTGTCACCGCCTGCAGGGCTGGGTGCTGGACACACCTGATGACAAACACAGCCAGCCTACAAGCAGAGCAGATGCCTTTTAAGCTTGTGCCTGACGGGTGACAGCAGCAGTGACAGGAGGGGACGTCAGGAACTGCATCTCTATATCCTACCCTCTCCAGGGTCCCCCCTTTCCCTCCCGTGCTGCTCCCGCAGCTGCTCTGTGCTGGACACAAGCTAGTTGTTCCCTCGCTGCCAACTCCTTCCCCCAAACCAGAAGGCACCACGTCAGGCGCCTCAGTGGAAACTCGGGGCAAAGACCCCCCCGTTCTTCGGGAGATCCGCAAGAACTCTCTCGTGCACGCCTACAGCGAGGTGCCCCCCCGCTAGCCACTGCGCCGTGCCCCAAACCAATCCAGCCAGGAGCAGCCTGTTCCGAGGGGAGCGGGGGCGCAGGAGCCTGGCCTGGCTGCGGGGGAGATGTTCCAGCAGCACGGAAGAGGACAAACGCGAGGGACGTCACACTGAGAGCAGCTGCTGCGCCAAACAACGGGGAAAAAGAAAAATCCCTTTTTTTGGTTTGTTAAGAATCAGATCGTTTCCTTGAGGAATGGCACGAGCTGGGAAGCTTTCGGCGCCGCTCAGTGCTGTCTGCTGCAAAGCAGAGCCCAACAGCTGAAGCACGAGAGCAGCCCAGGGGACACCGCGAAGCCAAGGAGGACGGACGTGATTTACCCAGTGAGGCAACCGCCCTGCGCAGGTACTCGGTGGGGTTTTACAAACCCACTAACAGCCCACCTGCTCCAGTGCCCTCCTGCCCCAAATCTAGATGATTCTGCAAGTACCACCGTCCTTCCCAAAAAGACTCCGCTCCAGAACGAGATCAAGACAGGATTCTTCATTAGCATGAGTAATGTGCTTTTTACCTTAAAGCCAAAGTAGTTGTAGGAGAAGTCTCTGTCATAGATAATGGCAGAATTCAGGCGCTGAGAGGAAAGAATACAGAGAAAAATTCACATTTACCATCAGCTCTTTTGTGCCTGGCAGTACGGCAGAACAACGCCATCTCTGCCTGGCACTTCTGGCCTCACAGGTCACTGAGCAGGTACCAGATTGGAGGAATAAAGCAGGGAAGAGCACCTAGCTCGGAACAACAAACACACAGTTTCAACCATTTTTTTTCCAAGTACAGTGCACGACTGTTGGCTGCATCTTCCTGAAGTCTAACCAGACACTCAGACACACAAGAGAGAATCAGAATACGAACGTGACTCCCCCGTAAGAACACAGACCTGGAACAACCTGAAATCAGAAACCAAACCTCACCTCTCCCTTGAGCACACACAGAACAGGTTGCTACATCAAAAGGTACTTTTTCCTCAAATTAATCAGTTGTGCAGACCACAACTACGAGGACATCCAAGGAAATAGATTCCACTACAGGAACATCCTTAACGAGGGGAATTCCTACATCCCCTCTTCTCAACTCCCCAGAACAGAGCAGTTATCACCTGCACTGGTTTCTGCACGGGCTTTTTGTCCTAAAACAAACATGGCTTGCTTAAAAATAAGTTATCTGAACTAGTTCACTGAATTTTTAAAAGTTAGAAGTGGAAAAAAAATAAGTTACGTACATCTTTGTTGGCCAAAACTATGTCTAGAGTTTCTTTGGAGATCATCGGCGAGTGCTTCCCGTTGTGAGGGTTTATGTAGTTGTAGAGATCGTCCATCACATCTGCGACAGAAAGGTGCTCAGAAGGGCCATCCACAGAGCTACGTAGGCAGCACCCGCCATGTGTTTTCAAGGCTTTCACAGGCAGGACCTCCAAAATAACCCCCTCCAGCCCTACAAACACCCAACTTGCCTTCCACCCGCTCAGTACCGTTACTAATCCGTTATCCTTAAAAATGCACTTCTCTTACAATGTTTTTTTATAGAATTTATGGGAACGAAAGTGGGTGCAACCTGATTTCAGTCAGTTCCATTTTTCACCAGTCTATTTCATCAGTCACCAAACAGGCAAATTCCCTTCCTGGTGACATGCCTGAAACGTGTGTTTTTCATCTCCACGGCATTTGCTGCCAGCCTGGGAACTCAGTAACTTCTGCTTAAGGAAGAGATTGCTGTATTTATAGCCTCTAAACCTCCTACTCCCTTTCTGACTAACCGCCACCCCAGGGCCCCCAGAGAGACTCACCGCTGAACACCTTCTTGGTTTCTTTGTGCAGGTTGGACACGGCGATCCTTGCAGCCAGGATGGCGTAGTCAGGGTGTTTGGTGGTCAGGGTGGCGGCCGTTTCGGCAGCCAGTGTGTCCAGCTCCACTGTGGTGACACCGCTGTACAGCCCCTGGATCACTTTCATGGTGATCTGGGCCTGAAAAAGGGGAAATCCTGGAGGTTAGCTACCTGTTGCTGGGGGGAAAAACCAAAAAGCCCGACGTTTCAACTGCGGAAGGTGTAAGGCGTGCGTCACCACAAGCAGCGCCGTTCACTCCATCCGAATGGCAAAGCAAATTAAAGGACCAAACCCTCCTGGTGAAGTACTGACTCCCAAAATTTTGAAGTAGCACTGGGGTAGAAGGGAGAGCAAGGAAAGAGCGATGAAAGCAGAAACTGTCAACCCGGAATCATTAAGGGTTTTTTTTTCATCTGCCGATGCTTTCCTAAAGGCTGGGACAGAGCAGCAGCAAAGCCCGCCAGGAGAGAAGTCAGGTTAAACCAGTACTTGCTCGGAGGTTTTGAAACTCCAAGTGAAGCTGGACTTCATAAATGCCCCATGAGACACGGAAGTGCTGTGCTTCAGACCATTCCATGACAAGAGCAAAAAACAACCCAGCCCTGGGAGGGAGACAATGGCCTTTGCTTCACGGCTTAACCTCATCTTCATCTGCCACTTGGGGCCTTTCGTGGGAAAAGACTTTCGCACCGACCACCTCTGGAGTGATTCCTCTTCCCTCAGGTGTTTCCCACTGACCACTACAAGAAGGAGCATCAAATATTGCACAGATGCGATTCAAGCCACGAAAGCAGAGCGTCAGATCTGCGAGAAGGGAAGGGCCGAAGCTGGCAGCTCCAGACGAGCAGACGGGGTCTGCACAGCTGCACGAAAACCCCACAGAGACCAACGGATCCACGAGGGAGCCGTCCTCTGCGCGGGCTTCGGCTTACACGAGTGGGATCGACACGCACTCAAAGTCCTGCACAGCTCAGGAAACCAAAGCAGGGACACGATAATGGCAGGGGGGTCCTGTCAGTCAGAAAGGGGGCCTTGTTTTATTGAGAGAGGATCAAGAGCTACTTTCCATATGGTATCGCTCAAGCTTTGCAGATTGAAACTGGGAGCAACCTACCCAAACCAAAATACCTGAGCAGAATACAACTTTTTTTAAGCACAAGAAGCCCTATCAACAACGTTTGAGGTAGGTTTACAACAGGTAAAGTGATTTTTTTCCCCCTCCACAGTCTCAGACTCCGTACCTGTGAAGCAAAAGACCTCAGGACACAAACACTCAGAAGAAACACATTACGGATGTGGTTCCCAGGAGTTCCTGCACAGGCTTTTGCCAAGGAGAACAACCGGGTGAGACCCGCTCAGTAGAGCCCACCGGGAGGGACAGGGAACGGGAGCGCAGGAAAAAGGACAGACTCACGGGGTCGACAAAGTCGGCGTTGAGCCCGTAGCAGAGCTTCTGGATGCGCGACGTGATCTTGTCAAACATGACGCGCTCTTGGCGTCCATCTGTTGGGGAAGAAGCTACGTCAGAGCAGCTCCCGTGACAATCAAGAACCAGTTCAGCGCAGCGTCCCCTCGCCCAGCACCTCACACAAGGAGCCAGCCCTCTTTGGGGGAGCTTGGGCTGGCAATCACCAAGGACAACCCGTTCAGCTCTTCGCTCGAGAAGAGAGGCTGTCCCTCCACCCCGGCGTGTTCTGGCTGGACATGATCTACCACACCTGGGACCCCTCACCCCCAGGCGCAGGGCTCAGCACGGTGAAGAAAACCAGGGAGCTCCCACCACAGGGCCAAGAAATTCCCACCCCACGCACACCTAAAACTTCGTACAAACCCAATTCTCGGGCTGCAGCGGGGGGGAACCCAGCTGAGGAGCCCCCCGGCAAAGGCTGGGGGTCCCTCCTCTGGCCCAGCACTCCCCACGAAGGCGGGGGG